AAAAAAAAAAAAAAAAAAAAAAAAAAAAAAAAAACCTTTACCACTCTCCTTTTGACACCTCATCCATCATTCATGTATAAACCATTTTGTAATTCAATTATGTACAAATAACATTATTCACGTGCTGGTAGACTCTCTCTAAAAAACTTTATTTTTAAAGATCATATTCTACAATTTAGAGAACATCTACAAATTTAGCCCCCCATTTGACCCCCATTTCGTAGAAATGAAAATTGGTGAAGTAGTGTTTTTTTTAAAAAAAAAATAAGTAGTTGAAAAAGAAGGAAATTTTTTTTATTTAAGTTTAATATTATTTTATGAAAAATTGCGTGACTGAAAATAAAAAAGAGAAAAATGAAATGAAAATTAATGGGGGATCAAACAGGGGTTTAGAGAATTCAAACTTTTAAGTACTCCAATAAACTCGCCTTGAAGATTGAATTCTATATTTACATTGATTTGACCTTTTGCCTCCAAGTTGCATGCTTTTTAGTTGAAAGAACTTCTAGCGCAATTCATGCGTTCTTTTTTTATGATCAATGATTGTTTCTTGATTTTCATTTCAAATTGTTCTATGGACTATCTATCAATATGAAATGGTCGCCTCCCTTCAAATTATTATATTATTTTTTTCATTAAAAATTGAAATATTTTGATTGGAAAATCAAGCTCACTATCTAAATTAAAATGTTGATTTACATAATTTTTTGGAACATAATTTTAACGATTGACTCTAAATTAAAATGTTGATTTACCGAATTTTTTGAAACATAATTTTAAGGACCGACTCTTTAAAATAAAAAGCATGATATGTTCAAAAAGTCTATTGGAGATGCTTTAAAGAATCAAACAAATATTACAGTTTATCTTAATTTTTTCTGAAAAAATAGTTCGATGTTTAAACTGAGATAGTGTGCGTGTTTTTTTTTTTTTTTTTTTTGGTGAGTATCATATTTTACAACCTAACAGACTTGAAAATGGTCAATAAGTGACTAAAAAAGCCACGTCAAAAATTTCCATTTCTCAGCCAACCCCTAGTAAATGGCCAGGAAGGAAGCAAGTTAACCCGTAAGTTTGTCATACACCAAATGCAGAAATCTGTAGGATTAACGGTAACAACGAAATCATTAGTTTTGCCAAAAAGATTCTTTAAAGAAAAGAAGAAGAAACAGTAAAATATGACTTAAAAATGAAATGTCATTTGTACAATGTTTTCTTACAACATTGTCAACAATGTTGGTAGGTGGCCAAAAAGTGTTAGATGGAAAGAAAAATTATTTTATAAACTATCCAATGACAACGTGTCACGTGACATGTTGTCAACAATATTGTCAAAAACATTGAATACCAAGCATAATTCTTTTGTTTTACATTTTCTACTTCTATGCAGGAAATGATAAATTACTTTTTGACCTACCCTCACATCACATGGGATCGGTGTGGGACCTCCGTGACATAAAAATGCCAAAAAAAAATGCATCCCCTCCACTCCCATGTGAGTGCTGTTAGGGAGGGTGTCAAACCCCCTCTGACAGCAAAGCATGATTCCTCACAAAATTAGATAAGAATAAAGCATGTCATGCAAAAACTGACATAACTTGCTGATGATGTTTGGAGTATCCAATAAGTAGCAATTAAACCGATAATCGGTGTCAAAAGAATAATACTATTCATAGTAAGAACTATCGGTGGTCACATGTGGCAATTTGTTATTTGATGCACGTAGAGCGACTACTGATAGAATAACATTACTCATGTCAAAATTAGATTGTAGATCGCGTAGAAAATCTAATCTACAAATTTGGCCCTCGGATAAGCAGCTCTTGATATAGATGCGAGAAATGAATGCAATGTTGGTGATTTGGGAGACCCATCAACATGCCATAAAAATGGTTGCATCGTGTAAACAATCCGCAAGGCAAAACACTAATAGAACAAGTTGATCTTATTTAGGGAGAACTATACTTCCGATATAACCACATTTCAGTTTCTATATTTAAGGTGATAGCTGTACAAATCAATTACACCTCCAGTGACATTCCAAGCATAACCATTGCTCTTTATTCAAAACATAAAACACTACCAGGACCATCTGTGCTTCTCCATGATCCTAAGATAGGAAATTCAGGACATACCTTAAAATATATGATTCGGCAGTTGAAGAGGGCGTCTTAAATTATTCTTCATAACCTCCGTTTTTAATCAATACACCACCTGAAGATCTTGACCAACTTCAGCACTATTTTCAACGTTCATTAGCTGTTCAAAGAAAACAAGAGTGAATAAGAACCACACAGTTCACGACAGGAAAAATGAGGGGACAATATGCTTAGGAATAAAAGCACAATTCAAGGACAAAGGATATCCGTAAATCCTTTTCTTTGGGTGGGGTCGGGGAGAAGTACAAAGTATTATTAAAATCATTAGTTGTATTCCGGATAATATATCAGAAGAAGTTGCAGAAGCAGCATTAATATAAAAACTAGGCAGTGAACCAATTAGGATAATGACAATAAAGGTATAGGCTAATACCACAAAATGCCTTAGATTGGGAAATAGGTCTCCAAGAAATTATAAACATGGAGTCTGGACTTCATTTTTATTTAATTTGGTATTCTAGTACATAAACACGTTTTGCAATTATGAATTATGGTATTCCTGCTAGTAGGCCACACAGTCTTGTACTAATGCAATTAAGTGAAATTTCTGCAAGTCAATGTTTCGTAGAAAATAAAGACACATAAATACTCTGGAACAAGCACGAGTAACCACTTGTTGATCTATGCCCAAACTAGCTATGCTCAAGAGCTATTTATCTGGCTTGAAGTTTGAAGTGCATAAGAAGCAGTACATAATCAATAAGTCATGCTGTAACTCAGGAAGAGACTTACATTCACATTCTGAGTCACACCCGTCTTTGACGTGTATAGACATACTTTGTAACAGGAGGGATTCCTTTGACCGACAAATCCACAGATTTGGCCTTTTCTTCGCAGCGCTCCTGATCCACATTTAATGTAAAGTCTAGCTGCTTCTCCACAGACTTAAGAACAGAAGTTCTTCTGGTTCTTAACTGGTATAGAGGAGATGCATTGTAAGACTTCGCATTGCACAAGTCAATGACACCAGCACAAGAAGGATCTGAATGCAAAATTTTGTCTTGCAACTTAGTATCCTCTAAACTATTTGTTTGATTATGCTCATCAGTAGATTGACTTGTTTCCTTGATTGCTTCCTCATCTGGCTTCCAATTTCTACTTAATGGCGGGGATAGCTGAGTTTCAGATTTTCTTTTCCGTAATATAGATGGAGTATTTGGAAAGCTTTGGGCAGCGATTTTCAATAAATATTCTGGAGTTCGTGAGGAAAAACTTCCAACTTTCAAGGCGGTTGGAGTCACTAAGGTCGTAGGCGATAATATGCAACTAACGTCTGATTCAGACTGCATGTAAGAAACATTTGGATTTGAATCTAGCAAGTCATAATTATTTAATTGCGGCGGTTCATAATATAGTGTCCCATATAACGCAGTATCACCATGCATCGATGTTGCTATTGTCCTGCATTTATCAGCTTCACCATGTGTTTCACATTGCTCAAACTTAGATTTTGGGCTTGAATAAATTTTGTCTGCTTCTGATGGCAGTATCTCACTTTTAGCACCTTCAGAATTGAGAGACTCATTCAGGGGATCACTGACAGAGGCAACTATACTGTGAATCTTGGTAATGGTCTCTAGTTTATCCCTCCCTTCTTGTATTATACGTGTGTCAGTAGCTCCAGACGAAGCTAAGGCAATTGAATCCAATCCATTATTTGAGCAAAGAAGTAACTCTCCAGCTGAAGCTGTTCTATTCACGTCTCTCCAACCATTTTGAGGAACGTTTTTAGAAATTGATGGAAGATTTCCAGTAGCCAAATAGAAGTCTAACTTCTTCTTCAAAGAACTATTCCAGTGATTCTTGATAGCATTATCAGTTCTGCAGAGAATAAAGCAAGTTCAAGCTGGAATTGTCTAGAAAAAATGATGCATCTAATAAGCAAGACGTAATAAGTAGGATATAATAAATGGAAAAATTCATTTACAGCCATCACAAAATATTGCCAATTTGAAAGCTGCTTTGGATGTAACCGAAGACAAGAAAAAACACACACATAAAATCCATCTCAAAAAAGCCTTTCCCAACTACTTGATAGAAACTATATTTCTATAAATTTTCTTTTTCTTGGGGATCTCAATCTCCGGAAACTCACACATAAAGCAAAGTAGTTGCTAAGGGGGAATAGCTATTTGGACAAAATTACTTCAGGTGCTAAAATAACATCCTAAGATTTGGTAATTGAATGCTTAATTTATGGTATCATCCATTAGCATCACACATCACCTTCAATGCTGTGGAGATGCAATTATGGATTTACAATGCTGTGGAGATGCAATTATGGATTTGGTAAAAATTCAGAATCCACTGGAATGGATTCAAGAAATTGTCCTATCGTGATGTAGATATCTACGTAATTCCTAAAGCTTCAATCATGGGTCACGGGTACAAATTAAGTCAATAGCATCTTCTTCACTTTCTTGAGTCCTGTTATCTAGGCACAACATGAAACTAATCTTTTATACTAAATTAAAGGTACATGCCTATGTTATTTCATTCTGAAAGTTTATAAAGAGAATATCATGTAACCGATAACTATAAAACACAATCATGAATAAAATTTTGATGCTAAAGATTCCTAGACCAAAGACAATTCAATCCAGAATCCAGGGGCATGCTTCTTTTTGCGTGGTCCACCAAATAAAAATATAGAACTCCTTAATTTCCTTATCCAGTAAAAACGATGTAAGCATAAATGAATGGTACCTTCCAGGCAGAAGCTTAGCTAATTCAGCCCATTTATTGCCATGAATCCTGTGAGCATTCAGCAGAGTAAGTTCCTCCTCCATGGTCCAAGCATCTTTCTTAATATTGGGATTTAAATGATTGTGCCACCTAAATTTTTTAAGAAATACTTGGTGCTTAATTGAAGAATCAGAAAACATACGAGCTCTTACAAATATGATAAATTGTTCACGTGCATATAAATAATACGTCAATGTGAGTGTGCAGGAAAAGTAAAGAACATAATTTACCACGTGTTCTTTACAAATAAGTTATAGTGCATGATCAATACACATTATTACTTGGCTACAAAAGGCAAAGTGCTTAGCATGCATCAGAATGACTTAATTATGTAAAGTACGCATTTGCAATGAAAGCAGAATGAGGGAGGGTTTTCAAGAGACAATTTTGTGGCAAATGCTCAATACTTATTGGCTTCATGCGTCTCTACTGGAAACTATAAATACCCCCGTATATTGAACTAAGAAAAATCAACTCCTCCCCATATATTAAGTAACTCTTTACCATTTTAATTGTTTTATTAATTTTTTCCTTTTTCATCTAATTCTCATGTATCGTTTACAATTTTTTTTTTTTTTTTTTTTTTTTTATTTTTTTTGTAGAGCCACTTGATTACATTATTTACATCTTTTTTTGTTCACAAGTTTTAAATAAAATTATATATTTTTATGAATCTAATATCATGAAATAATTTTTTTTCCCAACGACATTTTGAGCATCTAAATTCGACACTTATTCCATTGAAAATTGTGATTTACGAAATCGAAAAAATAAATATTTATGATTGCACTCTCACAATATGTAAACATAAATAATAATAATAATAATAATAATAATAATAATAATAATAATAATAATAATAATAATAATAATAATAATAATAATTTATGATTGCACTCTCACAATATGTAAATATATAATAATAATAATAATAATAATAATAATTTTAAGGCCATTCAATTAGTAAAATCCTTTACAGTTCCAAATATTAATTATTCTTTTTCCTATTCCATACTATAACTAGCAACAGCTACCACAACTACCGGAAGAACCAATCTAGTGAACTCCTCACAACCTTTTGAGGCTATGTCAATTTTGGTATGCTTCTCCTTATTCTAGTATATTCTAATAGGTTAGTAACACTTCTATGAAAGAGTTTCCTCAATGTCTACACAAAACATGCTCTAACAACCTAAATCAAAGGGTATGACAAAAAG